TCTTTCTTTCTTTATTTCTTTCTAAATAATCTTTCTTTTTTCAAACTAATATTTCTTTATTTATTTCTTGCTAACTAATCTCTTTCTTTCAAAGTAATATTTCTTTCTAATTATTTTTTTGTTTTTCTAACTAATCTTTCTTTCTTTTTTCAAACTAATCTTTCTTTCTAATTTTTCTTTCTAATCTTTCTTTTTTTTTCTTTTTTAAAACTTTACACTATTTTAATTTGAACTTTAAACTTTTTCAAACTTTCTGGTCCAAACTTTCACAAGCCAACTTAAAGAGCCCCTATCATAGATTTTTGAAAATGACTGTTCATATGGTGTGGAATATAGCTCTAAGGGAATGAAAACATCCTGCAAAGATTAATATCTGAAAGTGCACCATATATAAAGTTATTGTCTTTCAAAAGTGAGAGTCGACTCTGAGTCTATGAAATGAATTGTTTTTGAAACGAGTCATTAGCTGTTAAATCGTGACATAGAGAGGTCATTGGCCGCACACTGCACATTCAAATACTTCATCATAGCATCATGTCGAGAAGACGCTGTGTTCTACAATGCAAAGATAGTTCAGCCACTTTGTTTCCATTTACCAGGGACGAGCATGTGAAGAATCGGTGGTTAGAGTTCATATAACATAAATGAATTCAAATGTGGATTCGCAAGCTCAGTAAGGCTCAGTAACTTACTTACCCAGTGTATAAGGATCAGCTTCCTCCTCCGAATCAAAACCTGTAAGTATTATTACTAATCGTTGCTTTTATGGGTTTTGAATGGTTTTGTAGCGTCGGGCGCGAGGTGGGAAGGCGCAATAAGTATGTGTGTGTGCGCGTGTGTGTGTGTGTGTGTGTTTGTAAGTTACGCTCAGCGCAGCTTCTAGGTCTCCAATGTCAATTTTTTTTTTAAATATGTGAAATGTTTGTCTGTTATTGGAGTTGTCATAAAGAATAGAGCGTACTGCAGTGCTTTATCAATATGTTTATGCATTATGCTAAGAAAAAATAACTGACTGGGTCTGTCATCTGACCAATTACCGCCAATTAGCGGCACGCAAAGGAGCCGGTGAGCAAATCAGTTAAAAATAAATGCATATTATAAGACAAATAAAGTGTTTTTTATCCTTGCATGCATGTTAAACTGTTTTTGGAAACTCCTAAAACAAAAATAGGAACATTTCAAATGCTATGATAGGGGCTCTTTAAAGTTTGACAAACTTTTATTTAATAAATGTAATTATTTAATGAACATTAAGTATATTTGATCAAATTACAGTACCATTTTTCTTACAAAAGCACATTCATTACCCTTCCTAGATACAGTAATCCTCTTTCTTTCTCTCGGTCTTCTGTTATTCAGCACTCTTACTCCCGTCTCTTTTGCCTCCTAAAGCACTGTGGGGGTTTCCTAAGCTTCTCTGTGGCTCTGCAACCCACAGAATGATTTGAGAATATGCGAAACACTTACATAACATTTTTTAATTATTAACGTCTTTATGTGGTTAAAACAGAGCATCAGCGGTAGCAATGCCTTATGTAAGATCGTATATTATTAAAAAAAGACATGCTTCATGGGTGTGTAGATATGTGTGAGCGAGTGAGCGTGCTCCAAGTATGGCTTCATAATTGCTAAGAAACCGATCTATTTATAGTTTAGCAACCCACAATACTGACATCATCTAAACTTAAAAGGGTAAAGCAAAAAATGTAAGTTAACTGGCACACTGTTTCATAACAATCGAGATGGCCTCAGTTCCTTTAACTTCAGACTATAAAATTATTTAATAAAAAATGATCTGACGAAACCATCTAATTATATACTAGTTCAGGGACACTCAGACTCTCAAGGCTCTTTTATTTAAGTAGGACAGGTAAACTGTCTGTTTCTGTTCAAACATGAGAGTCAACATGAAAGGGACTTTAAAATTACGCACAGGCTACTGATAAACACATGCCTAGCATTTCAACCCAGAACTAGCTGTAAATGACGGGCAATGATGCAGAACAGCCTGAAATTCCCCATGACGTAGTATGACGTAGAGTGGACCAATGACAAAGCCAGTGAGCTTTATAACAAAGATGTACAATACCACTTTCTTTTCTAAATCCCCCCCAAAAAATCATTTATTTTGGTAAAATAGGTAATCATTTTATAAATTATAATTATTCCAAAGTAGTATACATAAAACACTTATGTAAAATAAAAATATAAAAATTATGTTAAAAACATTTTTAAAAAGTTGAGTATAATTTTTCTTTTGTTTGTAAAAACACTAATAGAAAAACTTTGAATTATTAATGAGCTTTTACTTTTTAAACAAAACTGCTATTTAGCTAAACTTCTATCAAAGGTCACATAATGCTGCTACTTTTACTCTTGGTTTTTTTTTCCGACTGTCTGATTGTTGTGTTCTCTGCTAAAAGAAGTGGAGGGAGAAATACTTCATTTTCTTCCATTTCCTTTTATCACCTCTCTTTATCCAAGAATTCTTGTATACACATTTCTTTCAAGACACATGATAAAAATCTAACTTTTATATCAACAATGTCAAATGTCTTGACAATCAAATGTCAAGATCTGAAGTATTGCTATTTTCAGATGAATCTGTCCACTAAACAATGACTCTGTATGGATGAGGAAAAGTGGATGGATGCAGAAACTTGCTAAACTTAACTTATAATCAAATAGCAACAATTTCCCCCTGGGATAAAGAAACCTGACCTGTGACCTTGTGATATGTATAATAGTCCATAATGTCATGTACAGATTGGCCCTTTTCTTGAACATATGGCAGAAGAGAACACTGACAGATTAGTGATATGTGCAAAATGTGGATGTGACAGAATATGTGGTGAGACTCTGGCTGGATTACTGTTCACTAAAAATAGCACATTTGGCTAAAAACAGAGACCATCTTTTGGAGATTAAAGCATAACCAACAATATGTTTTTAAAGCTAAGTCGATAGTAGTAAAGGGAGAGAGAGAAAGAGTCCACTGTGACCTGACATAGTCAAACAAATCAAGCCTGACATATTCCACAGCACCAAGCTGCCTGACCATCTACGTCAAAGAGGTTCAAGGCAAGATGTTGATCGACTACATTCAGCAGGGGAGCAAAGATGGAAATGTACAGGGGAAAAAAAAACAGTCAGTCAAGTCATACAAACACACAGAGAGTCAAGGTCTAAAACCTATCATGTACAATATGTGAGTTTGGTTTGGTGAACAAGGCCACCTGGGCATGGCCTCAAAAAAGTTTATGAAGAAATTTTAACAAGACATTTTTACAATAAGAAATCTGAGATGAAAAAATACGATTATGCGTCCTCCAATGCGAGAGAAAAACAATGACATTTCTCCTCTCTTTTATTAAATGCTCTATCTCTTTTTTTAGTATGTATGTAGTGAAGTGGGAAACCGTTTCTTCAATGGGTAGTCACACAGAGAAAGACATTATTAGCCAACCTGGCAAACATAATAAATCAAATAGCTTGTTTAAGCACTAACAGATGCTGTAAATTATTGCCAGACACAGTTAACATTTGTAAATCCTGAATCCAAAGGAAAACTGACAATCCTACAGTAAATGTGTTCATCAAGTCTTAAAGACAAATGTCAAGCATATCACATGTTTGTGACACTCTGTTATGTGTCTCTCTCATGTGTGCTGAAACACGATGATAGGACAACAGAAGGCCTGTATTCTGACAAAAGTAATACATATCTTGATGTTATTCATTTATTTACTTAGTAAGTGTTAAAGTGACAAGGAGGTACTGAGGCAACAGAAGGTATTGAAATCATCAGTGACGTGGTTGCCTTGGAGCATGACTGTAATTCTGTGTCTGATTAAGACTGTTTAAGGGAACAGTTACCAATGTCTTAACACCTTGTCATTTCTATCCTCTAATAAAAACTCAGAAAAGCAAACATTCAATGAGAATGAAAGAAGAGTGAAAAGGATTCAGAGGGGGGACGTGAGGAGATGAAAAGAGAAAAAAGGAAAAGAGAAAGGGAAGCTAGAGGAGAATCAGAAAAGAGAGAAAAAGATGAGAGGTGAGAAAAAGTGAGACAAGATATGAGAGAAAAGGAGAAAAGAAGAGAGGAGAGAAGATGAAATTAAAAGAGAGGAAAGGAGAAAAGAAAAGAAGTATGAGGAGAATGAGAGAATAGAAATTGAGACAAGAGGTTAGAAGAAATAAGGAGACAGGAGGAGAAGAAACAAGAAGAGTAGAGGAGAGGAAAGACGAGGAGCGGAGAGAGAAAGATGATTGCGTGGGCTGCCTGCTCCTCTTACACAGCCATCCAATAATATTGGCTAATTGCATGATTTCTTCAGCTTCTCCAGCCTCTCATCATGAGTGGGAGTCAAAGGCCTCATTGGTGAAGTATATAGCTGCTGACAGAATAACTTGTACTGATTCTCTCTCATTCCTCTCTCCTACGTTGGTTTCTGTAGCAGCGGTCCCTCTGAGACAGGTTTCCCCAGAATCCACGTAAAGAGGTATCTCTACCCACGCTGCAGAGTAAGGAACATCTCATTTGGAGCTTACTTCCGTGCTGCCTCATGCACACGCGCACACACACGCAAAGCCCTCATGCTTTTTCCTCTGGTTCTCTTTTATTAAACACTAGCTCTATTTCTCTCTCTCTCTCTCTCGTCATCCTACACTCTCTCACGCAGGAAACAGGGGAACCTGCGTGGGCGGTAGCGTCTCTCCCTGTCATTGAAGCCTCAGGCCCCGTTGACAAATGAGACGCTGGGGCCTTTCGACTGAGTGTGGGTGAGAGCGGGGATTCTTTATCTGCACTGGAGGATCTCTCTCTCTCTCACACACACACACACACACCAATAAAAACCAAAGAGCCCTGTGACCACCACCCACTTGATTGCAACAGGGACAGAGCAGGTCACAAGCCGGTATTAAGACACATGTCGAGTTCCTCTGGCAGTTTAGCCCCTGCAATGTGTCCAAATTTGATTAAAGAGTAAACTCACGGGTAGTCTTCTGCTAAACGCTGAGCCATTTGGTAAGCCGTGGGGTCACGATCTACCGCCACCCCCATTACATCAGGAACCGACTGCAGGATGGCCTTCAAGTGACCTCCGGCCCCAAAGGTCAAGTCCAGGACAACCTGTTGGAATACAAAAACAGACCAGAAAGAGAAAAGTCAAATATCTTATTTGTGATGAAAACTACTTTCGGCTTGAAAAAAGCTACTAAATGTTCAAACAAACATTGATTTTGCTCTAAGTATGAGGCCAATGTCCATAAAGTTTGTCACTACTTTTCAAAGAGGAAACACATTTGCACATTCTCCCTCTTTTTTCTTCCCTACAAACATGCACGCTCACACTAGAGACACTATCCTGTGTTCTCACTCAAAAGTCAATGCATGAGTCATCATCTCTCCTGTTGAAAGTGTCTCAGTGGTTTCTTAGAGCCACAGTAGCAGCTACACCTCGGGTCCATTTTCCCAGAGCCATCCGCCCACCCACACGTCATACCCTAAACGATACGCATCCATCCTTAATAGCACTGATACTAAATTGTTGTCATTAAAATGTCTGAAAATCTCACCGAAATGACTGATTCATTCACATCTTTAACTCAGAAACGTGTGAAGAAGAATCTGTTGGGGTCAGAACGTTTAAGGTTTTTTTGTTGGTTTTCCCTTTTGTTCACCATTCTTTCACTTTGGTTACTGGTCGGAGAAGCCTAGAGCAGAGGTTCTCAAAGCGGGATCCATGCCCTATAGCCAGGGGGTCCGCAAAATATACATTGGGCCCTATGATTCCCACAATGCAGAAAACATGGATGGAATCGCCAAAGTTAATGGAATTTATAGTATAACATGTAATGTCACAGAATTCGTCCAATTTTGGATGAATATATCAAAAGTAGAAATGTACACTTAAACATATTACATAAAATATTAAAGCCCAAATAGACTGCTATTTAAATATGAATTCTGCATGTTCTGCACGTCTGTGTGAATGGGTGCTGCAGGCGAGCAGTTTGTTCTGTTCACATACTCAAGCATGTAAGACGCTCGTGGCGTTTTTAGCGTCTGCATTATCACTACATGAGAACATGAACTTAATCTCCAGAGCTGCTCTGAGAGTCACTTAACCAGCATTTTACCATTTAGTTTGATAAAACTATCGTCATCATATTATATGAACCAGTCAAACTTTAAGAAATTATAGCAGAAATATATTACTACTGTACAGAAGAATGTGCTTCTCACAGTAATAATAATAGTAGTAATAATACAATTATTATTAATCACACATTTTTCTTCCAATAATCACACATTTTTTTCTTCAAGTAAAATGAGTTAGGCTACTTTCACACTGTACATTTTTGGGATTTACAACAACATTTACTTATAAGTGTAGTGTCTGGGCCAATCAGACACACACACACGATTAATTATATTTAATGAATAATACAGCAAACTCACTTTCCCAACAAAGGTCTGTGAAACTCGATGTCATGTTACAAGACTGATAAGTTTTACAACCCAAAAGAATGTGCATGAACTCAATTGTTGCTGAGGAGAAATTAACCCCTTTAATCCTATATATATATATATATATAACCATGTGATAAATGTATTAACATGTATCTAATGTTCCATCTCATGATTTGTCTTTATGTTTTTTAGTCTATGTTTAATGGGTTAATGTTTCAGACTTTGCATACTTAACCAAAATCATATGTGTGGCATATTTGGTCTCTATAACCTGGTACTTTGAAGATCGAAATGACTGTGTACATGATATGTCGATAACAACAACATATTAGTATTTCAAGAATCTTTCAAAGTTTCTTCATCGGCTACCACCCCTCCAGCGTGCACATGCAATGAGCACCAAAGAAAGACCAATAATCCAAATTCCCGCCTGGCACTTCCACCATTCTTATTGGCCGAGCCAACCCTGAGAGGTTGGACTCTTCTCAGGTTATAAATTGCATCCACATCAGTCCCTCTCTTGTAGTCCCTCTCTTAATGTCTTGGGCCTTCCTGAGAAGTCCTAACGTGAAGATAATGCTGAACTAGATGAAGTCCCTCAAGGACTCCCAAGCATGTGCCAGGCTGCTGCCTTGTCTTTGCATTCATCAAAGACCCTCTGACTCCGACTGGTTTTCTCTCATCAAGATCACATCAGCAAAGATCAACTGGAGCCTCAGCCAGGGGCGTCACTAGGATTTTCATTTTAGGAGGGCTAGGCCCCCAATGAGGGTATGATTTAAAAAAAAAAGTGCATTTCAAAGCGTTTGAAGACCAAAAAAAAAAAAGGATAGGAAATAGCTTTAAAACCATGTCAGTGGGCTTATTTCTGTGTTAATTTATCATTAACAATATTTTATACATTTATAATTTATACATTAAATGTAATTTGTATTTGAGATTATTAAAGGCATAGCTCACTAAAAGATGAAAATTGTCATCATTTATTGCCCTTCAGGTATTTCATAACTTGAAATGTATGGCCACAAAATGACAGTAAATGTTGACCAGAGCTATTAAGTAAGATTTTTAAGGCAATATTTTCATTCAACAACAAAATTCCAGTCTATAGACACAAAACTGTTGTATGGCTTCAGAAGACTTGGATATAGCCTAGCATATTAGTCATATTCATATACTGACAGCTCCTGGTCATTGCTGGTTTGTTTGTAATGCAAGAAGCAGCTTCTTCAGAAAATGTTCTTATGCATGATCAAACTCATATATAACTACATATGAAACTTTAGAAACACAGTGAATTCCAACAAAAATCTAAAACTACATTTGTTTCCTTGCTGGCAAAACCAGGCAGTGTTTGTATTACAGCATGTGTGTTCTTTTTGTTCTTCTTCATTCCACTGCACACTGATTAACTTGTGAGACAGAGACAACATGCTCTAAAGCAGACGCCATAGGCCTACAGTTCTACTCCACCGCTGGGCAGCACACCACAAAGACAGAGTAATTAGTAGCTTCTAATGGATACGCGTCATTAGTACTAGCTGGGAAAATACGTCGGGGGGGAGAAAGAGGAAGGGACTGGAATCAGATATTCAGTTTAATCTAATGCTAAGAACAAGAATTTTGATTTCTGATCACCACATGGGAGAGATGCCTGAGTTCGTATGTGAGTCAGCCCCAAGTTTGAACGTTCATCATGTTTCTATTTTAAATTCTACTGCTTTTCCATTTTTTTCAAATAGTTTTATCATTTACAAATGAAATAGCTGCAGATCGATATTTTTTGTACACAATACCCTCAAGTACATGAGGTCAGAGCATTTAAATAATGATGCGCTATCAAGCTTTCGCTCTATGTGTCCATAGCAACCAAAAAAAATCTTCATCCTTCAGGCTCTTCTCTCACGAAGAGCCACAAATTAACTTATGGTTCGGAAAGAATTAGATACTGTAGGAAAACTGGATTAAAGAAAGGACTGTATGAGGAAATTGTTGCAATTGTAATTAATATATCCAGTTTAATGACAGCAACTTTAGCTGATGCAATGTCCAATTTCACATTATTAAATAAAAGCGGTTTTGATTATTTTATGCAGACACTTAACAAATTTAACAAATAGCTGAAAGAGTGAATGAGACATTTTTAAATCATGTAATGGTTTAGAAGCACTTTGCCCTAGGATATAAAAAAATTATTTCCTGGCACAAAGGCATCACCGTTTTCTCTGATTCAATTTCTTCCTGTGTTAAGAGCTAAATCATTATTCGTCAGCTGATGACTCACTTTCAGCCCTCAAATTCAACTGCCCCCTTTTGATCCCGACAGGAACAACAACAACATATGCTCTTGTGTGGCTCTAGCATACCATAATATTATAGTGGACTTGCCACATTTTATTTCAACTGTAAAAACAAACATTTCAAAGTTCTAGTGTTTGTGTATTAGAACTGCTCGTTCTTTTGGTTTACCAAAAGAAGCAGGAAGAAATCTCCAGTTGGTTAAAATGGACCACCTCCACCCTGAAACATCAGTACAGAGATGGGGCTTTTTGGGGGCAATCGGCTTAGAGAGAAAGAGACAGAAGCATGCGGATCGATAGTGACGTTGGTGGAGAGGTGCGAGCGTGCATGAGCAGAACAGGAGGTCATCAATGGTGGAGGGGCTGCGTCTCCCTCTCCTGTCTGAAAAACAGGCAGAGCTAAAGGGGAGGGAGAACAAGACGACACGATGAGTCACAACAACCAGCTTCAGTACGCCTGGTGTGCCATTCAATACCAGTGAGAGGTAGATACACAGAGAGCATGAAAACATGTAGATAAAGAAATATAAAATTAAATACAAAACAGAAACCCTGTGTTAGGTTGGCCTTTTCTGAAAGGGCTCCTGAGGCTTTTGACTGCATTTGGTCCCTCTTCAGTATTATCTGGCATCTAACGAGTTCAATAAGTAATCATTGCAACACATCAACATCCTGATTTCTGTGATTATCTTGGAAAAACAGAGCAAACCAACTACAGTAATATTGAATATGAAACTTTATTTTTAGCATTTAATTTTTTGGCATTTAATCGTACATTTTTAAATATGTTCTCCAATCCCAGGTAATCTGAAATATGAATACGACTGCGCTGTTTGTTTAAAGATCCAAAGCAGACCAATAAAGCAACATCGTTTTTGCGGTTCGTTTAGAGTAAGTCGCACATCAGTGTTAACTACAAAACGGACAACAATTTGTAATAGTCATAAAATAGTTTAAATAAATGTAATTTTTATAATAATTTATCATTAATTGTTTTGGTGCAGTTAGGAGACTATCATACAGTAAACAGGATGATTATGATTTATAGAAAGGAAATATGCTATACATTAAGTAGGCCTAGATGTCACGGGAAGGGGGAACACAAGACGGCAGGCAGAGATGAGGGATCCAATTGCAGGGAGATTTTAATGAAAATAAACAACCATAAAATAAGTCAGGAATCAGTTAACACTGACATAAACAAAGAAAACACGGGGAACTGGAGACACCTGCATGACATCAAACAACGACCGACAGAAAACAAGGGCTATTTAAACAGAGGGGTAAATGAGCTTAACAAGGGAAAATGACAGCAGACTAATGGAAAACTGCAACCTGGCCACAGGAAACAGGACA